GACCATCATAGATTCAAAATGACCGATCTTCACTGTACATATGTACGTAGAGCTTCATTCGATGCATGTGGCGATATGTAGGGTACCTATCAATGGTAGATCCGCGGGTAGCAGCAGCAGCAGGGAGAGACTCTGGAAGGCTGCAGAATTCCCCTAGGGATTAGGAGAAATAGAATGTCGCTGGCCGTGACGCCGATATTTTCCGTCGAAAAATAGTTTTTTCTTTGATACATGTAATTGGCAACTATTGACGGAGATTCGGGTTAAGCTTTTGGACATTTTGGACAAGTCGAATTGATGGATGCATGTACATATTGAAGGTAGCGAAGTATATCCATACACATAGTGGACCTAGGTACCTAACTTAGGTACCTACATGTAGGTAATGCACTGGATGTACATACATACACTATGTACATACACTATGTACATACACTATGTACATACACTATGTACATACATGTAATGTACCTTTCGACCCACATTAGATGCAGAAGACAGAACCTTAAGCAAGCTGGACTGGATATTCCAAATATATTATCCCATAATAATGCGGCTTTTCATATACTTTTTTAAACTTCGTCCATTAATTTTGCACCAATAAGGTCAATAGTTCAATGCTCTTGGGTTAAGCACATGTTATACGTATCTACTCTCGGAATCTATTTGCTCTTCCAAGGATTTTCATACATACCTATGCATAGAATTAATCTAGCAGCACTGCTGATCGGGATGAACATAATCGAAAAGCCTCCCAAACGGAAAAAGACTTGTCGCTCAAGTTCATCTTGGCACCGGACTCGTGTGGAGTCTCCACGCTCGCACGCCTGCACGCTCGCACGCCTGCACGCCTGCGCCGCTATTGCTTCTTCGTGGAATCATGGGGGCATCGTCACATCGTGGAGCGCCTGGGGGGGGGGGTCTAGCAATCATTTCTGGTCTTCCCCGCAAAGGCCTCGTGTGATCTACGACTACTGCTGGCTGGACCTTTCTTATTCCGCACCAACAACTAAGCTTGGCTCTTTCAAGGCTGAACAATAATTTGAGCACGACTTAGGACTCGTCGTCCAAGCAAACCAAGGTACCCCCTGGTCCAACATTGAGGCATCTAATTCCATCTAACTAATCCCATCACGTCGACCGTTGGTCTTTGACCTGAGCCATCTAGTCCTAATGGAGTATCGTTGGAATCACCGCCATTTCTGATATCCTTTCATCCAGCATTACCCCGTGATAACTAGGCAATTGCAAGTATGCGTCGCTTATTCTTAGTTTTTTTTTATTAGTCCGATCACCCCTACTCACGTCTTCTAGCTCGTCGCTCTCATGCTGTGTTACCCTCAAACTAAGACAAGTTCTGCAGCCCAGAATATGGATTAGGGGATCACCGGGTTGAAGACATCGTTCATTGGTCTGCCTACCTCTCTTCCCCTTCGGGCTGCTCAGGTGTAACGAGATAATACCTACATGATGCCATATTTATTACACTCGTTCTACGAAATGCTGAGGCAAGGACCAAACAGGAAACCAATCTGCGTTCCTTGCAAGGTATCGACTGGTCGGCCGTAGCAAGTATGAATCCTTCCAAAGAGCCATCTATTTTTCTACCTTGCACAGGTACCTAACTCCTGGGTACCTAGCTAGGGACTTGGCCGCAAATATTGGCGTGCAACAGCAATATTACAAGCTCCAACAATTCCTAGGCGCCTAGGAACTATGCTATTAGCTTCAATAGAGGACGGTCTTGTCCCCTTGGCGACGAGATTTGGTTGTCTGGATTACCTGTTCGGACATGGATAGCTGCAAGTACAACCCCGAAAGTCGATGTCATTACCTGCAGAACACATGTCGACAAAAATACAATACATCTTGCGTGTGTGGCTTCTATGCAGGGCTTCAGCTCCCTCGTTGTCAACTCACTCATCAAGTTGAAAACTGGGAAGACGGTAAGCGACCCCGGAACCAGTTACGCATTGCATGTGGCATATTCTCTTCTCTATTGCTCCGTTGGTCAGCAGCCATGTGAGCGAGTAGAATAATACTCACGTTGCCGACTAGCGTATAGAGATACTCCATTGAGGTTCCTTCTAGTGATAGAAAATGTATGACTGGATCGGCACTAAGTCATATCTTGTCACCCTGTCCCTACTCACCAACCCTCATAATTAAGCATCGCGGAACGAATGCCGCCTATGAAAAAGAAAGGAGACTCGCTACTTATTCTAGCGGTATTCTCGATGTCGTATGATAGAAGTCGGTTGCCAGGCTAGCATCCTAGCCTACCTAACCTAGGAGGTAGCAAACTGGTTCAGGCCAGAGAGATCTTAGCGACTTATACATACATAGAAACCTCCAACTAGAGGCTAAACCCGAATGGTGTTGGGGACATAGCTATTCTTTGTTAGGTAAGGTATTGTTAGGTAAGGTATTGTTAGGTAAGGTAATGTACCTATTCTAGTATGCTAGGTACCTAGGTACAGTAAATACAAAGACGCTTTGCTGCACGAGTTGACGTTGACTGGTAAGCATGCAGTAAACAGGTAACCTAGGTCCTATGTAGGTAAGTAACTTACAATTCTGGATAACCAGGATGAAAATCCAAATTCAATGTTCAGAGACTCTTTTCTAGGGGGGGTCGTTGAATCGCAACCCCGTCTTTGGACTCGCTTAAGTACACCCACTCTGGCCCAGGACCAATCAGACGGGTTGACTTCTTGGCCCTCGCACGCTGTTTCTTGTGCTCCCCCCCCCCCTTTGGTTCTTCTTTCCCGCCTTTTCCCTCGCTGCCCTTTTTTTTTTCTCCACCCTGCAACTCGCACTCCAGGCACTCTATTATTACCCACTCCTGCCACTATCCTATCGATTCCCGCCTGTGAGTGTCCTGTCCTGGCCTATCCCCAAAGGTATCTCTCAATCAATGGGATACTGCACAATTCAATCGACAACCTCATTCATCGACTACGAGCGACGCAATCATCGTCAATAGTGCCGGTTTGACGTCGAAACACCGTCACCATGGCGATAGCCATGGGCTGGCATAAACCCGATAATGTCGCCGGCTCTTCTGCCCCGGCAATTATGGTTGGCCTCTTCGTAGCGACTGGTGGTCTCTTATTCGGATACGATACAGGGTGAGCATCACGACACAGCCTTTTCGCTTCAATCTGTCTGGGCTTCAATGCGTTGGAGGTAAATCAAAAAGGTAGCGCGATGTGCTAACTTAACACTTTTTTTTTTCTTCAAGGACGATAAATGGGATTCTTGCGATGAGTTCGTTTAAGAGCCAATTCAACACCGGTTACCGAGATCATGACGGCAGTTATGACCTTTCCCCTTCTGAAATTTCCATCATCGTCGCCATCTTAAGTGCCGGTACCGTCGCCGGTGCTATCATGGCCGCTCCTCTCGGCGACTGGATAGGCCGTCGAATCTCCATCATCGCCTCCGTCTGCGTCTTTTGTTTCGGCGTCATATTTCAAGTTTGCGCGGATGCCATTCCGATGTTGTTGGCGGGCAGGTATGTTCATGCTTGGCTCCTCTAATTGTTACTTCGGATTGGACTTGCTGATGCTGTCGTATAGGTTCTTCGCTGGTGTTGGTGTCGGATCCGTATCTGTCCTCGTCCCTTTATATCAATCTGAGATGGCCCCGAAATGGATTCGCGGTACGTTAGTTTGCGCATATCAACTTTCAATAACGTTCGGTCTATTGGCGGCATCCATCGTCAATCTCCTCACCCAAAAGATGGCCGGCCCGCCCGCGTATCGGATTCCCATGGGCCTTCAGCTCACATGGGCCTGCGTACTATGTCTCGGCCTCCTCGTCCTCCCCGAAACCCCTCGATTCCTCATCAAACAGGGCAATAAGCACGCTGCTGGTCTCGCTCTTAGTCGTCTTCGCCGTCTCGATATAACGCATCCTGCCCTCGTCGAAGAACTCGCTGAGATCGAAGCGAACCACGAATACGAACTCGCACTGGGAACCGCCTCCTATCGTGACCTTTTTGTCGGAACACCTCATCTCGGCCGCCGGACGTTAACCGGCTGCTGTCTTCAGATGTTGCAGCAACTTACTGGTATCAACTTTATCATGTATTACGGAACTACGTTTTTCACCAGTGCCGGCGTCTCGGATCCTTTCCTAATCTCCCTCGTCATGAACGTCATCAATGTCGTATCTACCTTCCCTGGATTATTCGTCGTAGAAACTTGGGGCCGTCGGAAATTACTCATGGTTGGCGCGATAGGCATGGCCGTGTGTCAACTCATCATCGCCATATTTTCTACCCTTGCGAGCGACTCGCAGAGCTCATTGGTAGCCAAGCTTCTCATCGTCTTTGTCTCCTTATTTGTTTTCTTCTACGCCGCATCGTGGGGTCCAGTTACCTGGGTCGTTACATCAGAAATATATCCTCTGAAGATTCGCGCAAAGTCCATGTCAGTTTCCACGGCATCTAATTGGTTATTAAATTTCGGCATTGCCTACGGCACACCCTTCATGGTGGAAGAAGGGAACGGTTATGCCGCCTTAGGGGCCAAAGTCTTTTACGTGTGGGGAGCTTTTTGCGTGCTTGCCGCCATCTTTGTATACGGTATGATTTACGAGACGAGCAAAATCAGCCTGGAGCAGATCGACGAGATGTACGAGCGTGTTCCCTTCGCGTGGAAGAGCAAAGATTTCGAACCGAGCTGGAGTTTCCAACAGTTGCGCGACGTCGGATTTGCGGATAGCGGTATCCCACCACCCGAACACGAATTACAAGCCTCTAGAACGACGACGACGACGACGACTAGCGAAAGCGTACAGACGATACATACTACAGATTCTAACCCTAATGACAGCCAATCGGAAGAGGATAAGATAATCAATCAAATGGGTATGGGTAATGTCGATTTCAGCTACTGATTCTCGATCCTTTCTCATCGTCTGTCGGTACGCAACCGCCCCTGTCTTAGTTATGATCGCCTCCATCGAAGAGGCTTGGGATTTTCTGTTCTTTGGTGTTACATCGGATATATAAGCGTAGGAGTTTAACGCGACGGAGTTTACGGCAACGGGAGTTGGACTGCTGGGGCATCATTCACAATTGGAATTTATGGGACGGCGGGTTTTGGTTTGGTGGGTACTACAGGCGGCATCATGTCAGTCAGGCGAGACATCATTTTGGGAACAATCACCGGTTCGCGTTGGGCATATAGCAAATCGCCTCGAAAAAGGCACGAGGCGTGCACGGCCCCTGGGCCGCATAGGTCCCCCTCCTTTTTTCTTCTCGTCAGGAGCTCGGACTTATTCTTCAACATGCCCGTATTGTAGGCCGAGCCGCCTTCGCGCTGCGTTCTATACCGCAGTGTAAGTGGCCTCGAGGGAGATCCTATTGTTTTTGCGAGTACTACAGCACGGCTTGAATAGATGGGGTGGTCGAGTTGATCTGTTGCTAGCTGCTTGGCAAATTCAAAAAAGTTGAAATGTTCAACTATTTTGTCTGATCTACTCCGTGACTATTAGAGTAGGTAGGTAGTCTTGTGTCGAATTCGGCTCGTAGTTTCTACCTCATATGCCATGATCGTAGATATCAGCATGGAAATAAGTTTCTGTAAATTTTGAGCGTGTGCTGTCGTCGATAGGTGGTAGTGAGATTCCCCTATTCTTGGAGTTGGCAGCCTCTCCTTAATAGGGGATGGGTTGGCTGCCTCCTTGCTTCGCTTGGGAATAGCATAGCATAGGGAATAAGGTACGGCGCCGTATAGCTTTTCGGTAAGCCGAGGGAGGAAGCTGATCTTTCTCCTGTCCCAAGCTTGACTTGACTTAACTTCTAGCCTAGCAGTGTCCATCGTATTTATACCAAATATTCCCGTCTAAAGTAACATTTATCAGACACGAAGAACAAGACATGTGCTGCTATACCCGTGTACCTGTATGTATGCACCTTAATATTATACAACGCGCCCCCAGCCGTCCCATTATATCAATACCTGGGGACGGCTAGCTCTAGGGCCAACAACGCACCCCAATTTCGCTCTCTTGTTACTTACTCCTTACGCTTGCTCGGCCAACAGATACAATACCCATCCATCTACATATCCCCGTCTTTATCCCTACGGCGTTCCATATTCGCAGCCCCAGTTCCGCTACGAAGAGAATTTCCTTCGATTAGCCATTAGCATAACAAGCCCTCCTACCAAAGCGTATTCCTTTTCTCGCTCGCTAGCCATAAATGAATTGGTTCCCCTACTCCCTATCCCCTATCTCCCATTTCCCATGTATTCCCTCCTTCCCTTCCTCCCTTGTCTTTTCCTTTCCAAAGAAGTATAGGTAAAAGAATGAGAACCTAAACGCAGGGGAAAGGTGGGACGTCCGTGAAGTTATACATATGCCTAGGTATTGCAGCCATTAAACACAGTATGAACACAATTCCATCACTCACTCAACCTTACCCTTTATACGTGAGGTACGTGTAAAATAGTAGCGCCATCCACACCACGCGCCAGGTCGTCGTCCATATCTCCCTACCAACGACCCCTAGCGTGTTTCGTGACCGCGACGCCGGTTTCCACGTGTCGCTGCTACGTTCCTTATCGTCGTAATAAGCGTCCCTCCTAATTTCTATGCGAGGGCCCTTATTCTGACCCCATCCCCATTTCCCGGAATTAGCTTTCGCTTTAGTATTGGGTGAGGCAGCGCGTGCTTGTGACCCCAACCCATTAGTTATAGATTGGCCGCGTGGTCTTGTGGACGACACGCGAGCCGAGGGGAATTTTGACGAGGATGTCCTTGATGAAGTTGGCGTCATGTCGGAAGCGAACCTGTCGTCACCTTCGGTCTTGGCTTTGAATATCGGGAGTAGTGCTGATGACGGGTGTTGGACAGGTTCTAGGGCGAACGGCTGGAGATTGAGGACGGGGACTAAGAAGGCGCGCGCTACAAGTATTAGTACGGTTATCACGCCAAGGGCAGTGTACGTCATATATGTCGAGATCTGTTGTGGGAGTAGGCAGAGATGAGTTTGCAGTGTAGTCTTCGGGGAGCCTGGGAGAGGGTTTCCCTTGTCATCGATGGGGTTGTACATAGAAACCATCTGGAAACCCGGCGTCGGCACCCCCATGGCCATGTTGAAACTCTTGACCGTGATCTCGCGGACGTTTCCCTGCTCCGGCGCGTGCACCACGTCGCAGTAATCATGGTCATCTCCGGAAAAGGCATGTATTACGTTGCCGATGTCCTTGATCAGCCTTTCGGAATCTTCCGGATTTAGTACATTCTGGTATTGGTAACCGCCCGAGACGCTAATGGCATTTCGGTGATCCGGGATTACGGGCCCTGTCTGGTCTTTAGGCGGTTTTGCCGGAGGCCAGTGCTCTCTCATCGGACCGCAGGGTGTTCCTGGATCTCGGTATAGAGGTACGTGCGTCAAGAGGACGGTCGGGAGATCGGGTGCACCCTTTCCTGGATCTATGGTCGGTAAGTTGCTATAATCTGCTGTTTCGATATCTTCGACTTTGTGCTCAAAAGCCAGCTCCTCTACTTCACCCCTCCAAAACCGCAGCTCCTTCTGAACAGCCCTTCGCTTCGTTGCCTGAACTTCTTTTAAAAATTGCTGGACTGGGCCGTAGATAGGCTGTAGATCGACCTGGCCTTTCATGCTCGAGGTACCAGCACTTAGCGACAGTGTGTCCACGGATACAAAGGTGTGGTTTCCGATGACATCAACCCTGTTCGTCTCTCCGAAATATGCATTAAATCGATGCCTCGCGGGAACCTTCACCTCAGCCCCGAAACCTAAGTCGTGATTCCCCGGTAAGCTCGAGATGAGTTTTCGTCCCCGCTGTCCAGGGCCGGGGGAAACACCCCCCAGATTCCAGTTGTCGTAGAATATGTTGCCGAACCTCGCATACTCCCGAAGCCAGTAATCGTCGCCGTATTTTCTATGCCATTCCTTCAAATATTTTCTCTCTTCGGCCGGTCGGTGCTCTTTTGCCCATTCCGGATCTTCGAAGTTCCCGTTTCTCGTCTTCCACTCTCTTCCGCCGTCAAAAAGGTCTCCCAGAAAGACGACAGTGTCTGGATGTAATTGCTTCTGTAATTGTATATATGATTGCCGCATGTAATTATCGGTTATGGCCATGGTGATGGGGCTGAGGGGCCACGGGCGACCGGGGTAGGAGTGAGGATCGATAATTTGGGGATCGGCGACGAATATTAATCGATGCGGGATTGTTCCAGCTGGCTATAAAATTACAATATGTCAATGATTTTGTTTTGTGCTTCTAGACCAATATGAAGAGCCCCTGAGGCTTCTCAGCATCTCGAACTTACCCAATCTTCCCAATGGTCCCAGTCGCAACTCCGTATTCGACTTGCGAACACCCAGCGTTCCCCCCATAGCAAAACGAGTATCCAGAGAGCCACGAGCAGATGCGGGAAGCTCAAGAGACGTTGTCGGGTCATATTCTTTCCGATTTGATGTGCTACCTTCATAGTCCAGCTCCAAGCTACTTGTCGGCCCCGTCCATTTATGTATCCCCAGAGTTGCCCCAGCATAACTCCGAAACAAGCAAGTATCTCGTCGCAGATGGATTGGGGCTCGTTGTTATTCCTGTAGTCGTAATCATAGGAGGAAGATGTAGGTAGAGGTAGGGAAGACGACGGGTAGCCGTAGCCGTTGCCGTAGCCGTTGCTATAAGGCGGCACCATTGCGATCGACATTGGTAGCCATAGGCGGGTACGTAGCTGTACAGTTAGTTAGCTGTATACTGGTCCGTGGGGATCACAGCTTGTTAGCTCCTTTCGTATTTCGTATGAATCTCTAAGCTAGATCTTCCGAGGTAGGCAAATAATAATATTAATTAAGGGCGCTTTGGGCCATGTTCTAAAATTGTAGACTAAGTGGCCGACTGCTAGAAAAGATGTAATAAGGTATTAACGTCTCTAAGAACGTGGAGCGTCGCCAAATCGTACAGTAGTGGAAAGATGGACCCTTGGTGTTACCTTAAAATGATACGCTATAACTTTATTTTTTATGTGGAGACTGCCAGTCTGCCAGTTAGGTACTGCGCCCGTGCGCCCATGCGCCCCCCCTTCTTTCGCACGAACCAGATCTAAATCTAGCTCGGATACCGTTTAAAGGCATGTTGGCCCTAACTACCTAATGTATGTAATTTGCCTCTTCTCCAGTATATGAATATGTGGCAATATTTACGACACCAAAACTCTACCTAGGTTAAGTGTTTAATGGCTCACGATATACCAAGTTTAAGCGATAAAACAAGAGATTAAAACCCAATATCCTCTCCGTAGAGAAGCAAGTATATTCGTGTACAACTACTTGTTCAGTTTATAACCTTGTAGTTAAAGAGTGAACCAGTATAATCCGATATCTCTCATGTCGGCATGCCTGGGAGCGCTCTTCTGATCAGAGCACCCCAGGCGGGAATCTCATAAAGTCCGGGGAATACGCCATTATTTCCATACCCAATCGCAGTATAGGGATATCAAATGCATCCAGCAAAGGCCCGTATGCGCAGCATCATAGCGCCCTTGCTACGCGCGTAAAGAGTGAACCAAAATAAGTTACATAAGCCTGAATAGGCCGAGTGGGTAATGTTGCCAATACCTAAAGAGGGTATAGAATTAAAATGTCCAAGTGAACGATTCTTTAACATCAAAAGGAATCGAATGCCTATAGACGGAACCGATTAGTGATTGTCAATAAGGGTCGACGAGATAAGTAGGTCGTAGGGGGGAGATCGCTAAGCGAGGGGTGGGGGGATGCTCACCTGATATCAGTCGCCGACGCCCCTATCAGCACTTTAAATGTGCCCTCCTCCGCGATCCATGCCGGAACCGAGTCGTCATAATATCCAACCGCGTACTTATCCAGCGGGATGATGATATGCTTGGTTTCCTCTGGCTGGAGCGATACCTTCTCGAATGCTACTAATTCTTTCTCGGGGCGAGGTAGCCTCGACTTGTCGTCTCTGACATATATCTGGATCGTCTCCGAGCCAGCTATGCTTCCCGTGTTAGTGATCGCCATGATTAGGTGGATTGGCGCCGACTCTGTCAGAGTCCTCCGGCTGAGGGACGGCCGGCCATACTCGAACGTCGTATATGAGAGGCCGTGACCGAACGGGAACAAGGGTGCGATGCTCGTCCGATCGTAGTGCCTATATCCGATGTACAAGCCTTCACCGTATAGAACACGTGAGTTCTCGCCGGGCCAGTTGTGGTACGCGGGAGTGTCTTCGAGCCGCCGAGGAAAGGTTGTCTGTTATAATTAGCCGACAAAATCGATGGGTTATTGGGGACTGCATAACTTACTGGGAGTTTGCCGCTGGGGTTCCGTCGCCCGAATAAGACATCGGCTAACGCGTTGCCAGCTTCTTGACCCTGATACCAAGCCTGAATGATGGTCGGTACTTGGTCCGCCCATGGCATGGTTACCGGTGAGCCGGATTGGTTGACTACAACCGTTCGCGGATTAGCCTTTACGACGGCCTCGATCAACCGATCTTGGCTCCCGTCGGAAGGAAGGTCCATTGTCTTTCGGTCATATCCCTCGGATTCCCATTCGGCATCGAGCCCAACAATAACGATGGCAACATCTGCTTCTCTTGCTGCGTCTACAGCTTGCTGAAGATAGTCGACCTGATCTTCCTCTTTGAAGCCGAGGCGGCAACCTCCGTATTTATGTGTCATGTTGAAAATCTTCTGCTTGGCGATTGGTCGAAGCTCGTTTGTCATCTCCACTCGCAGCTGTACTGGTCTTCCAGCTTGCATATCAACGTCGACCATATAATCGATAGAGCCGTCAAACATCGCCTCACCTTCTTCCGTCCAGTTCCAGAGGTCGAGAGCCAACTTTCCATCTACGTACAGCCTTCCAGGACCGACACTCATAAAACTGATCGTGTGCTTTCCGGTAGTGGTCGGTGTTATATAAGTCGTTGCTATAGCTGACCACTCGGGACCGAGCTGGGCCAATGGTGCGGAGTCCCATAGGAAAAGATCGGTATTCGTCCTTCTCTGTGTGACGATTACGTTGCCTTGGAATTGATCTCCGCTAAACCAGTCAAGAGTCACGCCCGGCTTGCCCGACTTGTCGGTACAGAAAGGCGACGCGACCGGAAGCCACTTATGAATGTGACATCCTTGGGCATATACGACTTCCTGTTGTGCTGCTGCTATAATGCTATCGAGCGGAAGAGTGTTGTAATAAGGGTTAAGACTAGCGCTACCTCCACCGCCGGCGATGGCCCGGTTGGCGTTCGGACCGATGACCGCAACTTTGGTGGTTCTAGGGTTGAGTGGTAGGATTTGCCCTTCGTTTTTCAACAGAGTTAGACCCTCCGCTCCCGCTCCACGGATCAACATCCTCGTATCTTCTCTGTCGTCTTCACGCTCGGCTTCTTCTGCCGACATATCATCTCCCTTGGTGCGTTCGACAAGGGTCAATACGTTTTCTGCGGCGACATTTACATCGTCAATCGTAAGTTGACCATCATCGATGGCTTCCAAGACCTTGTCGAAGCGCCACTTAGACGAAAAGGGGAATTCTATATCACACCCTGCCTTTATCGACTCAACAGTCGAATTGACACCGCCCCAGTCGGACATGACGGTTCTAAGAATCCCAAACATCAGCCACCGATCTTAGCTTGGATAGAAATTAGACTTACCCGTCATAGCCCCATTCTCCTCGCAGTATATCTTTGAGCGTGTGGTTGTTCATGTCGGCGTGAGTGCCGTTGATTAGGTTATACGCAGACATGACGGCCCAGGGATTTGCTTCTCGTACAGCTATCTCGAACGGCCGAAGATACAGCTCTCTCAACGGACGTTCCATCATCACCGAATCGATGGTAAGCCGATGAGTTTCCTGTTCGTTTGCTACGAAATCTGTTCGATTATCAGTTGAAGTTCCGAATGCTAGCAGGTAGATGGTAGCGAACGCTTAATGGTCGCGGCAACTCCTTTGGACTGCAGCCCCTGTATATACCTCGAGGCGAGCTTGCCGGTGAGGAGCGGATCTTCCGAGAAAGACTCGAAATTTCGGCCGCCGAGAGGATGACGATGCATGCAGACTGTGGGAGCAAGGAGCACATTGGCCGACCTGGCCCTGACCTCATTGGCTAAGTGCTGACCAACAGTGTATAGCAGATCTTTGTTCCAAGTAGCTGCAAGCGAGATACCGCACGGGAACAAGGCTGCCTGAGCAAGGCCGATTATTAGCAAGGCCTTATAACCTCGAGATCTTTGACTAACCTTGGTACCCCCAACAAAGATGCCTCCCCGAGCGCCATTAGGGCCATCACTCGTCTTGATGGCTGGGATGCCTTTAGACAGTATCGATTTCGTCCGCCAGAAGTCCGCAGCAGTAAGTAGCGATACCTCGACAAGTTAGCAATATGTCAGCATCGGATTTCTCTAATTATATACCTTCTCCTCGAGGCTCAGTTGGGCTAGCTTCTGCCTCGCTAGCAACCGACAATCCTTAGAGGTGGCAACTTTTGGAAATGGACTTCCGGGAGGAGAGAATTCCGTATCTGGTGTCGTATTGCTTCCGACACTCTCGTACGGCGATGCGTTGGGGTCTACCCCATAGAACTGCGCGTCTTCAATATGCTCCATATTCGAATAATGGCTGAATATGTCTCTTATTATAGCTGGTTCTTCCAGGAAAATAGTCGCACGTGATCTACAGCGAGCCTTGATGTCTTCGAACGTTATTAAGATTAGTTAATAATGAGTTGAGAGTTTGCAAATACGTCGCGCAGACGCGGGGATATTGGTCAAGAAAAAGCCCTGTAAGGCGAAGCGAAGTCCGTCGACGAACCCGGTCCCAAGGTAACCTTTTCCCTACGAGTATAAGGGGGATCTCAAAGGTTATATGAGTCAAGTACAGCTTCAGGACCGAACGCCAAGATCGAGGAGATCTTACTTATGTATCAATGGGAGGAGGCAATACGACGTCACGGCCGAGACGATGGCAGCTATCTATCAAAGTATACGATGGGACCTTCAGTATATACGAAGGCAGGGGTAATAGAATTCGAATGGTACTATACACGAGAATACCGACCAGGAGGACAATGCGGTATTTCCCATAGCGGACGTCCCAGGGCCACCGCTCGCAAGTCGAGCAGGCCGTCGAAGGATCGACATGTTATCAATGGATTTAATAGTTTCGATCAATGGCATATGCCGCAATGCCGCCGAGAAGTGAGGAGTGGAGATAGAGTGTACGTCCTGGAGTCGACGTGATCTCTGGGTTGCTTTTAGTGCAACCATTGTCACTTGACAAGTCCGTCTACGAGGGACACTATATTGCTGGTCCTAACTAGGAAATACCCACACCGGCAGGAACGGACCGGAGGAGCGTTGTTTCAGGGTACTTGAGAGAAGACGAAACAAAAAGCACGCCCACGCAACCACGTTGGTGTCGCGCAAATAGAGTGGGGGGCCGCTACGGGGAGGCCTTATCCATTCGGACGTGGAGCACGGGGGCAAGGGGTGGTATGTCGGACAAGGCGGTCAAGCGAGCCAAGATCCTAGCAGCGGATGACGAACTGAAAAAGAAAGGGTGGAGAGATAGCCACAGACAAACAGCTCCTAGTTATATACTCTCTTTTCCTCAAAGCGGAAGAATGACTGCGACTATGATTAGCTAGTGTATATCACGGTAGAGTGGTTATAGATTAGGAGGAGGCCCACAAACCCTGCGAGTTTATAAGTCGTAACCCCCCTCTATTACACAACATATATTCGCCAGTCATTGCAACGATTCCTAGGCGAACCGGATGGGTGGTTGAAGCGTTACCTCACTCATGGCCCAGCCACCTAAGAGACTTGGCCGCCTACAAGGCCGGCGGAGGGAGTCGTACGGAGTATAGGGCGAATCGGATCACCCTGAGCCTCGGGGTGCTGATCTACACTGCAAGTCCTTCTCAAGTAAGGCGTTGGCGTCTACATACGCAGCCGGCCGTTCTATCCTTAACTGGTTCAGCTAGTCAATAACCGATAAACCGATACATCCATAAGAGATTCCAAGAGCGACTAGGAGGCTCAATGTATACAGAAGGGCTAGAT